GGAGCATGGAGCCCCTCGTGGCTCTGGGCCTCCTCCCTGGGTGTCCTGATCGAGGCCCGGCCCCGGGCCTGCCACCTGGGGTGGCCGTGGGCGCTGAGGCTAGAGAGGAGGCAAATCCTGGGGCTGGGGTGGACCTCGGCCTCCGGGGCAGCCCTGATCTTCCCACCGCTGCCCCAACCCACAGGGCAAGGGAAGGGAGGAGGCGGTGGGGTTAGGAAAAGAGCCAGTGGAGAAGGCAACGGAGCCCCTGCTGTCCTCCCATTATTGAAATCCTCCTTGAGCCTCACACACCCCATTACAACTCTGTATCTTATAATTAAATTGAATCTGCCAGTTACCTCTCAGCACGGTAGCAATTCAAGCTCATTTGAGGCTTTCTTTGTTTATTTTTATTTATTTATTTATTTAGTAATTATTTATCTAGCTATCCATGTGGCTACATGGAGGCCCTTGCACCACGGGTCTCTTTTGCCTTGGAAAATCAGAGTGTGCAAATGCAGTCTCTCCTGCTTGGTGTGAGGAGGGCAGGGAGGGGTGAGCCGTCTCTGGGGGATGCCTCTGGGAGAGGGTTAGGGGGAGTGCCACAGCCTGGCTCTACCCCCTTGTTCTTGCTCAAGATGCCTTATGGAAGGTCTGCGAATTCCAGAAGGCTCCATGGAAGCCCTTTGCCCCTAAGGGACTGGAAACACGGTCAGATGATGCAGTCGTGTCCAGATATCAGCGGCTAACACCCCCACAGGGCTTTCAAGTCCTTCCATGCCAGATACATGTTCTCTTTGAACCCCACAGGACATGAGACATTCCTGGATGGGGGCGGGCATCGAGGATCAGAGAGGTTTGAGATGTGCCTGAAGTCACCCAGCTGGTCATGGCCCAGCTGGGATTTGAACCAAGACTCTGGGGTAAAACCCAGCCTCCCCATCTTCCCCGGAGCCCCACATCCCAGCTGGGAGCCCAGCAGCGGACATCAGAGCACCTTTCTTCTCTTGAACGCCAATCTTTCAGCACGAGGGAGAAAAGGAGAGCCTGAGCTTTGATTAGGAATCAAGCCCAAACAGATGCAGAGGAGATTCTGAACCACCAGCCATCACTTAATAAGAACATGAAAGTTTACTCCGCACAAGGCCATCCCAGTGGGAGGCTCTCAGGCATGCTGGGATGGCATGAACCCTACACAGCCACCGCAGAGTCCCGGGGAGGGGAGGCGTTTGGAGCCCTCCAGCTGGGCAGCCCCACCAGAGCCAAGGATGAGGATGGCTGGGATAGCACGAGAGAGAGAGAGAGACCGAGAGAGAGAGAACAAGCACACACACTCCCTTATTATAGTGAGAGAATGAGAAGGAATTCCAGACTGCTGCTGACATCTTAGACAAATCTCCTCTGAGGGGAAAATGGTACTCACCGCCACCGACCACCTCCTGCCTTGCCTACCTGCCCCTACCGGCCTGCTGGCTGGATCATCCGTGGGCCACTTCGTACCTCTCGGAGCAGGGACGGGAGCAACCACAACAGACCTGCGTCCACACTGACCGCTTCTGGTCCGTATCGGAGCCAGGGAACTCACAGGTTTCAGCAAATGTGGGAAGCGGCAGGCCATGTGTGTCTATGACCTGTTCGCCTGCAAGAAACTGTGAGCGACCTTGACTCGGGTTCTGTCCTGACCACAGAGGCTGCCATAGCCACGTGATTGGGGCTGGTGGCCCAGGCCTGAGCTATGGAAGGATTTATATCTTCTGTTGGTCTGGAGATGATTCTCTGGTTGGAGGACACCATGAGGAACCCTGGTCCAACACAAGAACAGTCTTTAAAGTGCAGGGTCAGAGGAGTAGAATGTCCACAGCTGTCCTGGCTTACAGGGTTTGGACAGGATAGCCGGGTCCTCCCCTAGCTCCTGAGGCTGAGAAAAGCCAGCCCAGGAAGCTGGGACCACTGGGCCTATAGCTCTTGGGATTTCCCACACAGTAGTGTGATTTTTTTTTTTTTTTTAAGATCATTTATTTATGGGGCGCCTGGGTGGCTCAGTGGGTTAAGCCTCTGCCTTCAGCTCGGGTCATGATCTCAGGGTCCTGGGATCAAGCCCCACATCGGGCTCTCTGCTCAGCAGTGAGCCTGCTTCCTCCTCTCTCTGCCTGCCTCTCTGCCTTCTTGTGATCTCTCTCTCTCTCTCTCTCTCTGTCAAATGAATAAATAAAAAAAAAATCTTTAAAGATCATTTATTTATTTATTTGAGAGAGAGAGAGAGAGCGCGTGCGTACGAGGGGAGGGGCGGAAGCAGAGGGAGAGATATTGAATCTCAAGCAGACTCTGCTAAGCCTAGAGCCCGACTCTGAGATCATGACCTGAGCTGAAACCAAGAGTAGGACATTTAACCGAATGAGCCACCCAGGCGCTCCTAGTTCTGTGACCTTCTGATCTGAGGTGACTGCCTTCATTTCCTCAGTCTGTGAAATGGAGACTAATGAGCTATGGTGAGGACTGGGGATACCTGGTCAGGAAGCTGGAGGGGAAGGTAAGGACAGGTGTGTTCCTATGACCTGTCCACACATATTCGACAAAGTCTGTACATATTTTAAGTGCCCAACAAACAAAAGTCAGAAAAATAACAACATGGTTTATTATTATAAAGACCCCGGTTTTACAGTGGACGACAACAGGGCTCAGGAAGGTTGAATCCTTTGCCCACGGCAGGTCATTTCTAGAGCCGCAGAACCGAGACCTGAATCTGGTCTGAGTTCTCTTCGATCCTGGTCCCCGCCCCCTGTCCCCAGGTACAGGATGTTACCTCTCACAGATACAGATCTGCTCACACTGTGGAGGTGAGGAGTTGGGCAGCTCTGAGGGTGTGTCCTGTGAGGAACCATCCCCGACCCCCACAGTGTTCCCCGAGGAACATTCCATGTGGTGAATGGAGTGACGGCTCAGAAGCTGCTGAGTCAGCACACTGACACCCAGGTCCCTCCTCCACAGGGAAGGCTGGCTGCCACGGCCCACAGCCGGGGAGGCAGCACAAGCCCTGGGGACCAGCCACCAGAGCCTGGTTGTCCCTCTTTTCTGCACTCCCTGCCCGAGTGCAGCCGTGGCATCTGCAGGGACCAAGCTCCGTGTCACACACCAGGGATCCTGGGTCCTGCTGCCTGCCTCCCTGCTTGGGGTAGACGCTGGCCTGAATTTCCTGGGAAACTGCCTCTGCTCCCATTCACTGGGTGATCTTGGGTGAGTCACCTGCTCTTTCTGGGACTCAATTTCCTCATTTGCAAAACAGAGAGCTTGAACTAGGGCAGGAGACTTAACCTGATGTCTGGTGGGGAGGGGAATTCTAGGGGCCTCCATCGGGTCTTCTTACCTCCTTCTGAATATGCATACAAAATTGAGTGTAGACATTCTTGTAGGAAAGAACTATGGCTTTCTGGTATTCCCAGAGACCGATGATCCCCCACCCAAACGAACAGGGTCTCCCCAAAAGATCGTGAAGATTCCCCAAGCTTTAGGATTGGCTGGGTCTGAGATGTCCCCTTCCTTGGTGACCAGAGCTCGTGCTAATTTTTACAAATGCATTTTTTTCCTCCAAGCATTGGGAGCTCTGTGGGATGAGGTGAAATTCCAATTTCAGACCCTGGGACACACAAAGGTGAGGGGTCTCTCTCCAGAGCTCCTTTCTGTAATGCCAACTGGGGGTACTGCGTTCGCGCAGGGCCAGACTTCCCAGGGGCTCAGCTGGGAACACTCCCTTTCCATTTGTGCTGGGCACAACCCAGGGCTCTGGAAGCCAGGATGTGTGGCCCAGAAGAACAAGTCCACAGGTATTTCCAGCAGGGCCCGCGTTAGCTAGCCTATTCTGTTCTTACACTGTTTGCACTAGATTAACCCACGTTTCTTGGGGTATTTTCTTATGCCTCTGGTCTTGTGTACATATTTGATCTTGTGCATTAGTCAGAAATGTCATAGAATGTTAGAACTGGAAGGGAACTTAAAAATCACCCCATTCACCCTTGTGCGGAGGAGGAACCGGACACTCAGAGGAGTGAAGTCATTTCCCCAGGGCCACCTGCCGCAGAGCTGCGTCCTTGCCTTTCCCATCCTGGGAGCACCCTGGGCGGCGGGGATGATTGCCTGCCTTCCTCCCCAGGCTCGTTTCCTGACCGGCCCTCTGCCCTACCGCAGGCTAGTCATGCTGAATGGGTCTGAGGACGTGCCCTGCTGATTCCCATTCTGTTCCTGTGAGCTGGGGATTCTTGCACTGCCCTCAAACACCTCATGTCATCCTTAGTTCAAGATCCTCTCAGGAAACCCTCTCTCCACTCCTTCTTCCATCCATCCCTGCAGGTGGGCACTCCTTCTCCTGGACCCCCATGCTTTGCACATCCCTTTGTTATGAGACTTTCTACGGATGAGATGATGGCTTATTATCCTTTGCTCCATGCTGGTGACTGTGAGGCGGGGACTAGCTCAACAAATCCTTGCGACTCTCCTACCTAGCACAGAGCCTGGCATACAGCAGGCAATCAATACATGCTTACATTGGATGAGTGACCAAAAAGACCGGGTCAGTCTAGCCTTCTTTCTCACAGATCGCCAACTGATCTGGCACCTTAGTTCCCTTCCAGACCTTGGGGGCCAACGCGAGGGCTCAGGTCCGCGAGTTCATCCGGGGATTTGAGAACCGAAATCTGTACAGCTTCTGCTCTCATCGGCCCCTTTTCTGTCTTCCAGAAACATGCCATAAGTCAGCCTCTGAGGTGGGTCAGCCTTATGTGGTTAAGCATCAAGTCATTCAGGTTTCCATCTTGGATTTTTTTCTCTCCATCATTCACGAGCTCTGTCACTCACCCCGTATTTGCTGAGAGCTCCCGACGAGTGGGTTCCGGTTGCTATGGATACCGTGTGAACAAGACAGACAATTTTCGCTTTCCTGAGCTTCTGTTTTAGACAGCATCTATTTAGTTCCTTTCCCTTACACATCACTTAGTGGGAGAAAGTGTCACATCACTTGGACAAGTCACCGGGCTTCAGCCTCTCCGTCTGCAGAATGCTGTCACCGGAGCCTCGGCCGAGCTGGCGGTGCGCGTCAGGCCCTGCGCGGCGCCGCTGAGTGTGGGCGCACACGCTCATGGGGACGTGCTGACTTGCCTCCTCTCTTCCCTGGTGCTTTCTGTCTGGAGGCCCACCCAGAGGGCCCTTTTTGATTAGCTGAGGGGCGAAGACTTCAGAGCCACGGATTAGGGTCTCTGTGCTGGGATTGTAAAACAAAGCATGGGGAGTCGTGTTTGCTGAGCAGCTACACTGTGCTGGGCACCGTTCCACACGGTGATGCTGTTCATTCCACATAGAAGTGGTGAGGGAGCTGCCCATCTCCTATTTCTCAGATGGGAAGACTGAGGCACAGAGAGGCCAACGGGATAGCTCGCCGTCCCATAGCATGTTGTTGGCGGTGGAGTGGGCTGAGAACCCACGGCTTTCCTGCAGACCGCCACTCAGACTTGGGGGGACGGGGGGATGTGGGGGGACACTTGCCTCCATGGCAGGGGAGCTCTGCTAGAGTGGAAGGAAGAGAGGACTCGAATGTCACCAAGTCCTCTTTCAATAAAGGCTTCAGCACTGTGTTTGTCTTGGTGGCGTATCTTATCGACCCGGTGTGTGGCACATGGATTAAGTATGCAGTTGGGTGGTCTTTAAAGGATGAACATTTTCTCTAGGATCAATAAGCCGAGTGAGTTTGGGTCTAAATTCATCAAAATGTCATGGGAGAGAAATTCAGTCTCTGGACTTCTGCACTCAGTCGGGTCGATGGCAGAGGGCAGGATCCGGGGAACACGGGTCTCTGCAAGGGAAGATCCGGGCATCTTTGGACCACCGTGAGTGCAAGACCCTGGAGAGGGTAGACCTACCCGGAGACCAGTATCCTAGAAACTGGGCATCCCTCCTGCATTCCAAACTCTACCCTAGCCTTTGGGGAGAGTAGCCAAGTGGCATGACTGTCTGAGGCCACGTGGCTGCTCGGTCTGGATCAAGCCTGAAGCCCGGGCTCTGCCCCCAGCACACGCCGACTTTATGAAGCAGTAGCCAGAAGGTCTAACATCAGAACTCGCCAAGGTGCCCGCCAGCTTTCCATGGCTCTGGAAGATGAACAGGTAGAGACTAAACAGATGATGGCAGTGTGGCTTCTAGTGATTTCCACCAAGAGCCCTTGGCATGTATCACTCGAGAGGGTAGTTAGTTCCCAAACACAGATGAGTATAAAATCCAATTTCTTAAATTCCATGCGGGGGCCCGGGGAGCTCAGGCTGCTCTGTCAATTACGACCTCCTCGGGTACTACGGACTGAAGATCCTCATTTCCTGAAACTTGGCTTCTATCCCTCTATCCCTCTGATCTACTTATTAGACTTCTACTGGGCCTCTACTCAGCCGCGCACTCAGGGTCTCAGGGACCCACTCTCTCCTTTAACTCGTAACTTCTCTCATGAATCATACAGGGCACCGGACGAAGCAGGAAGCCGCGAGAGGGGAGAACTGGCGAGAGGGAGCCTGAAGGACAGGGACGGAGGAAACAAGGGGACGCGCACAGAAGCCCACGCAACATTGGCCCTATGGGGACGACTCCCTGAGCGGGTCGGCCTTTGTGTCTTTCTCAACGTCTGGATCTGGATGATCCTTGCGGGTTCCTACGGCTAGTAACTTGGGTCCCCAGACCCCCTCTCTGCTCCCCCACTGCTTTATACCTCTGTTAAGGTTACCTGTCCCACTCATCTGTCTGCCTGTCTCCCTGGATCTCGAGGTCTTTAAAAACAGTCCACCTGGACGGGGCCAGACATTGAGTAAAAGCTGAGAATAGAATGTATACGGATGTACGGGGCTCATTTCAGCTCTCCAGGGGCCCCCACAGCGGGGACACAGGATGCACACCCAAAGGGAAACCAATGGTCACTGTGCTGGTCTGGCCAGGGAGGGCTTCACGGAGGAGATGCGACTAGAACTGGGCTGCATGAGATGCTGGGGACCAGTTAGGAGACGGGGAGAGCATTCGAGGTGGGAGGAATTCAAGGAGGGTTGAAGGTTCAGGGTGGGAACGGGCAAGGGGGAGCATGGATTGGGGCAGCTAGGCAGGATCTGCACAGGGAAATCTGGAAGGGGAGGCTGAGGCATACTGTGGAGGGTTGTGGATGTGGAGGATGGAGCCGGAATTTCCTGTCTACTTGCGATGGAGTCTCCAGCTTGCCCACCTCAAGCCCCATGTGGCTCCAGGCATTCAGGCACTGGCTTCCCACCAGTCTCTCGTAGGCAAGGTGGTTGGCATGGGTTCTGTGCTCCCTGGCCAAGCAGGGCCGTGTGTGACCTGAGACTGCTCTGCCCTGTCTTCCCCTCTGGAAGGAAGAACCAGCCCCAGACTTTTCAGGTTTGAGGGACCCTCTGTCTGCCCTGGCTGTGGCCTGATCCAGGAGTCTCCACTGGAGTCAGGATCAGGTCTCAGAACCAGAGTAAGACACTTGCACCTGGATAGCCTCTGGTGTTCTGACAAGGAAGGGAAAGATGCCCCCCAAGAGAGAAGGAGGATGGTGCTGGAAAGGGAACTCTTACTGAGTCCCTGTAACAGACCAGACCTGGCCTCCTGGCTCCCCGGTTACACGGGGTAGGTATTCAGTGTCCTTGCCCAGACGGGAAACAGAGAGCCTTGGGAGTCCAGTGCCCAGCCCAAAGTCACACCGCTAAGTGGCAGAGGGCTTGGAGCCCACACCTGCCAGATTTCAGACCCAGGCTCCTCCCCTTTATTTGGCCCTGAACTCTCAGGGGCCTCTCTGTTTCGATCGGACCTGGGGCCCTCTTCCGCATGACTGCCTTCTCCGAGGACGGGCTGTTTGCTACGCGGCCTGGGTTTCTCCAACAGCACCTGTGACCGCTTTTCCCAGCCTTGCTAAGCCCGGTTTGTGTTCTGCCTTCAGTGTTTTGTGAGAGTGGGGATCAGAACGCCATCCCCTGATGCTGCCGGAAGCAATAATCCAGACACGGTTGGAGGCTTTAGTAGAAATCCTCAGCTACAGCGGAAGAAAGCGAACTGGCAGAGCAAGGATTTCAGCAGATGCAAAATCTGCCCATTTACCTTCCTAGTCTGGACTCAGAGGGGATGGCTGAGTCACGGCAGGCCTCCTCCGCTCTAGGTCTCCCCGAGGGGTGAGAGCTGAATGGAACACAGAGGTCTCTGGACTTCTGCAGGCCTGCAGTCCCTCGAGGACAGAAAAGGCGCGTCACCGAGAATTCCCTTCTGCCCTCAGACAGAGATACTACTGAGTGCCGGCTGCGCAACAGGCCAGTGCTCCCCACCGTCACTCATTTTCCTATGGAGTCCTCACCACAGTGACACAGAAGTAGGATTCTCCTTAGTTTTGGTACGAGGCTCAGACGGCTTAAGTGGCTGCCCAAAGTCACACAACCAGTAAATGACAGATCAGAGACCGGCTGCTCCTTACTGACCAGATACTGCTATCTGGTCTTGGGGGTCGGCCTCTACCAGCTCCTCGTCCTCATGCAAAATTACCCTGAGCCACCTGGCCTGCTGCCCCGGCCCTTCCCCTCCTATGTGTGACTGGAGTTCCTCCATCGGACACACCGGTCTGTGGTCACAGACCCTCCTGCTGTCCTCAGCTGGGGAGGACTCCTTCAGAACCGAGGGGTTGCCTGCCTCCTAGGGAAAATAAATTCCTGCTCTAGGCTTGCCAGCAGTTCTATCTTTCCAAAATGAGGTTGTTCATTTCGGAGACTCTGAAACCTCCAGACTGATTACATTGCAGGCCTCCTTCCTAGCAGAGGAGAGCTGGGATTGTGGCCAACGCTGAGCTGCGTACTGGCCACCCTCTACCAATCAGGGGTAAGTCTTATCCGGAGTCCCAGCCCCTAAGGCCTGGCCTCCTGGCCGTGGCTCGCTCTCTCTCTCGCTATATCTTTACATATATAGTTGCAGAATGAACGCACAAAGGAGTCTAGCATAATGAATATAGCACGTGCTATGCAGTTCAACTGACCTAGCTTCAAATCCGTGGTCCGTGGAGCAACCCTAGGCAAAACGCTGAGCTCTGCTCTGTTCTGCTCCTGTCTTTGTAAAATGGAAATACTGACACCACCCCTGCCAAGGGCTGCTCTGGGGGGTAAAACGAGATCAAGCCCTTAGCACGGGGCCTGGCACACCGCGAGGGCTCCATTCAAAGGGGTATCTGCTCGTCTCTCCATGCCCTAGGCAGAGGTCTGTCTTCCCGGTTTGGAGAACGAGAGCCTGCGGCGGCCAGGTAGAGGGACACTCAGCCAGCGAGAGGGGCCTCTAAGGAGGCCGCTGGTGACTGCAGCCTCTGAGAAGGCATTACTGGCCATTGTTTTAATCAATACCGTATTATTTCCTCCGTGGTGTCTATCCCCATGTTTATTATGTGTAAATAGGGTTTTGCAGCGACACGAATGTGTTAGCTTAATGGAGCTGACATTCAGCGTGTGCAGTCTGGTGGCTGCCCCTCAGGACCTCCAGGAAAACGAGATGATGGATCTGCCACGAAGCCGTCCTCACGGGCGAAATCGGAGAAACACCCGTCAGTGGCAATCAGGGCACCCGGCATGTGACTGCAGGTGCAGGCTGGGTGGTCAAGTGAGGGAAGTAAATAACCCCCATGAGCCCCGGGACCCTGGCCCAGCTCCTGGAGAGAGGGTGGTCCTGGCTGGTGGCCAAGAAGCAGGGTGTTGGGGTTCCCATCTCTTGCTATCCAGATGTAGACTCTGTGTAATAGCCCTACATTGTCTGCCAACCCCTATCCGCGTCCTCCATCCCTGCCTGTCCCCAGCACCCGTCAAGTCTCACCCTCTCTGACAGCTGTTCCTCGTGCTCCTGGATTCTTAGACGACCCCCCTTCTTCCTTCCCATTCCATGGCCTTTGGTCTGAAAAGCCATTTTGCACACATTTCTGTGGCTCCTGTAAGCTTGGCCCAGCCTTGCTGTCCAGGCCGGCTGAGTGGAGCAGAGATCCCTTTTCCAAGTTCACCACATGGGTTCAACTGTCCTCTAGTGCCAGGGTGCCCGGAATAAGGGCTGTCAGCCCTACCAGCCCCTCTCCCTCTGTCTCACTGGGCTGAACC